CCACTCAGTTCTATTACAGGTTTCCCCTGCCCTTTCTTTAAAAATGTTCAATGTTGGGAGCTCAGAAAACTACCCTTCATGAGCACCTATGCCTCTGCAGAGTGGGTCCAAGGACTGGCCTAATCAGGAGGTTTGAGAATGGGGCAGGGGGGGTCATGGGGGTGTTTCAAGGGCGCCCTCGTGGCTGCCTTCCTTACTGGATCTGGTGGCACGCAGTTGGGGAGGTCGTGCACCCACCGGATGAGCCCAGCCAGGCAGCTGGAGAGGCCTCCTCCAGGGTCCTTGAGTCCTTACTCTAGACTTCTTTACATTGTCCAAATAATCCTTTATGATTTTAAAAGTATTTTTTTCTATATGTATCACTTGATATAGTTTCTGTTGGTATATCTTCAAATTCACTAATCTTTCTGAAGTATCTCAACTGTCATCAATCCTACCCATTATATTTTTCATCTCAGACATTGTAGTTTTTTATCTCTAGATGTTTGATTTGTGTCTTTTTATTATCTCCCATGTTTCTACTTAACATGTTTACTATTTGTTGTAGTTGTTGACTATTTAGAATATAGTTATAACAGCTGTTGACATGGTCTCATCTATTATTTCTAACATGTCATTTAGGGTCACTTTCAGTGGCTTTCTCCACTCTTTATAGTTCATATTTTCCTGTCCTTTGCACAGTTGGCAATTTTTTTATTAGCTGTCATATGTTATGAAATTTACTGCTTTTAAATTTATTCTAGGTTTGACCAGAACAGCATTTTGCTGGGGCTATTCTCTATAGTTAGTTAAGATCTTTTTAGTGCTCAGCAGATGCCCCATGAAAGATGATGTTTTTCAGTCTGGCTGATTATTTCAGGCATTGCTACCTTTAACCCTTTGGCATGGTTTCTTCTCCAACCCTGTGTAGTGTCTTCATATATGTAGACTGATCATTATTCTGCTGAACACCCCAGCAGATCTCAGGCAGATATCTAGATTTCTCTCTTTACATCTTTCTCTTTTCTAGTATTGTATTGTGCCTACAAGCTCTCATTCCCTTCACAGCCCTGAACCCTTAGCTTTATTTCCTCAACTCAGGGAGTTCTCTGGGCTCTTCCTGGTTTATCTGCACTGTGTCATATCCTGAAAATGCTTTAAGAAAATAAACTGAGGAAATCACAGGGCTAACCCCATTTGTTTCTAGTCTTAGATGGTCACAGTCCTTTTTCACATGATGTCTGCTATGGTTTAAATGTTTATGTCCCTCCAAAACTCATTTTGAAACTTAATCCCCAGTGTATTAAGTTTAAGAGTTGAAGTTTTTAGGTTAGTAGGGTTCAACTTTTGTGAATGGGGTCAGTGGTCTTGTAAAGGGGGTTGTGGGAACCTATTTGGTTTCCTTTGGTCCTCTGCTTCCTGAGGACACAGTGTTCATCCTTCTATCATCTAAGGATGTAAGAAGAAGCACCATCCAACAATCCTTAGCCAGACAGGGAATATGCTGGCACCTTGATCATGGACTCCCTGACTTCTAGAACTGTGAGAAACAAATTTTTATCATTAAAAATTACTCCTTCTGATGTATTTTGTCACAGCATCTGGAATGAACTTTCCAATGTCTTTGAAAGCCATTGTTTTGTTGTTTTGTCCAGTTTTGGAAGTCATTTCAGGCAGGAGAATCTGTCTGGTCCCTGTTACTCCATCATAACTAGAAGCAGAAGTCTCTACTTATCTATTTTCAGTTCTTCAAACTTTGTGGATTACTGTTCATCTCTGAGGTCATGTTGAGTTGGAAAGCCCCTAATAGTCAGAATTAGAATTTACCATGGTCACAAATACTTCTGAAGTGAGCCAGAGGATATAACAGATCAATGCTTTTTCCTTTGACTACTGTTATAATCAAATCATTTTTATCACTTTAAAGCACTTTCAAAGTATAACTGTTTGAAGCCTCAATCAAGGGAGATATGGTTTCAGGTCAATGAATGCCTAATAGAATTTTATCATGAGAAAGGCACATATTTGTGATCTTAGGAACTTGCTTTAATAACAAAAACCAAGGCTTTTGGCTATATAGTAAACTTGATATATAAGACAGAAACTGTCCTGTGTCCTTTACACTCTCTTCCTGTCCAGTTCATTGCATGAAACATTGGCTTAGGGACCAGGCTGTTCAGCCAGAGGAGGATTCTGGCCCTCTGGCACTTCCATTTCCCCCCTCAGTTACTACACCAAATGAGGGGTGCAGATCTTATAGGTGGGATCCTAGGTGACTTAGTAATACTTCATGCTTCCACTTACCTCGTCTTTGTGGGCGACAGGTTGCAAATTTATTTTTAAAAAACTGCACTTAGTAAACAGTTGTAGAATGAATAAAAATAAAAAGTTTTTTGAAAGTGAAAGTGTTCCAGAAGGCTTGGCATCTTTCTTCTCATGGCAATCTGCAGAGACAATCAGTCTATTGGGAGCCCAGTGATCCTGTTCACGGATGCATGCTGGTTCCATTACCAGTGGCTGCTGGGGGTTGACATTTGCCAAGGCCTCTCTGCTCTCGTAGAGTTCATTGCTGTGTCCAGGATGTGATCACAACCAGAACTCAATTAAACTTTTCAAAGTAATAAAGAAGAGTCCTTTAAAGGATGGATTGTCTTGAACTTTTCTTTCAAATGGAGACAGCTTCCTTCTTCCTGAGTGTGGTAAGAGCGGGAAGGGATCTCTCCTCCTAACCTTTAGCTTTTAGCCATAGCAGAGATTTAATAAATCTTATTATCATTACCACTTAAATATTTATTAAATATCTATCTGTCAAATCCAGTGAGTGCAAATGAACTTCTTAACATTTAAGAAGTTCTGCTATTAGCAGTGTATCATCACAACATTTTTTTTGTCAAGGGATGGCACAATTCTGAGTTGGAGGAACATAGGAATGCCTGTCATGAGAATGGATAGAGAGAGGGAGAGGAAGGAAGAAGGAAAAGGACATGGAGAAGGAGAAGAGAAGGGAAGGGAAAAAGGTAAATATAAGAAAAGAAAATTCATTTGATTAGGATGATCCAATTTCCTTCTGGTGTCACAAGCACGGTGGTGTTAGATGGCCAAATAGGTAGATATTTATGACTTCTTCCCTCACTCTATACACATCTCTGCTCAGAACCCCTGACCAATCAATCTGAAGTACTTTTCACTCATTACTATCCAAATTCTTACTCACTTTATTTTCCTTTTTAGGACTTATCCCCACCTACAATTTATTTGCTTATTATCTGTCACATTCCTAGGATGTCAGCTCTTTAGCGCAAGGAATTCATCTGTCTTCTCTACCATGCTGTATTTTTTTGGTACCAGGGATCGAACTCAGGACCTTGCACTTGTGAGGAAGGTGGCAGAACCACTGAGCTAAATCCCCAGCCCTATTGTGCTGTATCTTTAATGGCTAGAACAGTGACTAGCAGGTAGTAGGCACTTAATAAATAGTTGTGGAATGGGTGAAATAAATTAAATAACTGGATAAATGACTTCTACAGAAGACAATTTAATATTAGCACACTACTTGATCCAAAATAAAAAATAGAAATACAGCCATGTTAATGTAAGTGCTGTGTTTTTTAATCAATTTGATTCCACTAGTAGAGAATTTGAATTAAGAGAGAAAGAGAAAGTGAACATTGGGGAAAAGTAAGAGTATACATAACTCCCATTTACAAAGTGTGTAGTTGAAATACAGATGAAAAGTTATATAGGAAGAAATAGAGGTTTATGTAGATTATTGAAAGTTGTAAGGCAATCAAATGATAAAATACCTTCATCCCCCACCCCTAGGCACACATGAAATCAAATTTTGGAAGGTAAAGGGAAGTAGCAAAGAGGAGGTAGAAGTTAGTTATAGATTCCTCTTTTATATTAGATTTGAGAGATATTATATAAAGAGAGGAGACAATAAGGAAAAAGGGCTAAGCCCTTTCTAGAGCAGTGGGGGTGATGAGTAGAGAGTAAAAATAATTTCCATTAGCATACAAACATGTTATTTTTGTCCCATCTTAAAGCAAATTACTCTTAACCTCTCATTCTCTGTTTAACTTTGGGTCTATTTTTTTTTTCTCAAAAAAAATTCAAATTTCCCTTATCCACTTTCTCTTTTCCATTGTCTATTGAGCCCTTCCAAGTAGCCTTTTTTCCCACACCACAACACAACATTGTGCTTGTAAAGTTCACAACCAGCTTCATTGGTCGTCATCTTTGAGCCTCTGAGCAGCAGTTAGGCCTCGTGGCTGCTCCTTTCTCCTTGAAGTACTTCAGTCTCTCAGACTTCTTTCCCTGACATTGACTGCTCCTTTATAGTCTCTTGAAGGTTATTCCCTGATTCATCATCTAATGTTTTCTTCTTTTCAAATCACATTCATGATCTGGGTTTCTTACTTAGCACCATAGTTTTAGTTTAGTTTATAGCCCATCTCCTATATTCAGGGCTTTTATATCCAACGGTTCACCTGACATCTTTCCCTTGCATATTTAAAACTGAGTTAATAATTTCCTTTAAGTTTTGTTCCCATCATTGCCATCTTGGTAAACATATCTTTACTCTTCCAGCTGTTCGGATCAAAATCTGGGAGTCACCTTCAACTCCTTTCTTTCTCTCAAAGTCATGTATATTCTAACACTAAATTCTTTTAGCTGTATTTTCTTCTTTCTTCCATTCTTTTCTTTTTTCTTTCTTTCTGTATATTTTTTTAAGATGAGATCTTGCTATGATATAGTTCAGGCTGGTCTTGAACTCAGTATATAGCCCAGGATGGCTTTGAACTCACAGCAATCTTCCTGCCTCAGGCTCCTGAGTGCTAGGATCACAGGTGCGTGCCACCACGCCTGGTTTGTATTTTCAAAACATATATCAAATCCAACCATTTTTACCATCATTCCTGTTAAAGTCACTTGTTGAAGAAGTCTGCCTGCAAATTGGCCACCAAAGATCTTCATTTTCTGATGTTCCTGCTCTTATTTAATTTCTTCCAATGCTATAGCTGAGCTGATCTGTGGGACCAAAAGAAGAAGGAAGTGATGGTGTGTGATATAACCTCATGTTCTTCTGTGCTTTTCAAGCACTCATTTTGGGGGAAGCCAGACACTTATTGTGAGGATACTCAAGCAGCCACGTGAAAACAGCCACGGCAAGAGGTGAGGCATTTGGTTAGCACCAACATTTCAACAATAAGTGAGACATGTTGGATGCAAATCCTCCATCTCCAAAAGCTCTCTGACAGTTGTAGACTGGCCAATATCTTGACCACTACCTCATGAGAGACCCAAGCAAGATTCATCCAGTGAAGCCACTCTCAAATGCTGACCCATAAAAAGGGAAGAGATAGAAATGTTTAATATTGTTTTAAGAAGCTTAATTGGGGAAAATTAAGATTCACAATAGACTCTGATACTAGTGGTTCTTAATTAATCTTGCTGTAGTTTATTCTTTCCCCCATAGCCTGAGTTAGACTTTCAAAACTAAGTCATACCATGAAATGGAAAATATACTGGGTAGGATTTTTGGCAGATTAATATTTAAGGAGAGAGCCAGGTGTGGTGGTGCATGCCTATAATCTCAGCACTCAGGAGGCTAAGGCAGGAGGATCACTGTGAGTTCGAGACCAGCCTAGGCTACATAGTGAGTTCCAGGTCAGTCTCAACTACATAGTGAGACCCTGTCTCAAAAAAAAAAAAGGAACCAAAAAAAAGAAAAAACAAACCAACAAAAATATTTAAGGAATGAAGATTAATGAACTTGAAGGTACAGCAATAGAATGGTTCAAAATGAAACACAGAAAAATAAAACTGAAAAAATCAACAGTGTCAGGCATCTGTGAGCAACTTCAAGAGGTCGGATTCTCTAAAAGAGAAAAGATAAAAGTAACATTTGAAGAAATAATAATCAACTTTTGCCAGCTTTGCAGAAAATGCTAAACCCATAGATCCAAGCCTAGTGAACTCTAAACACAAGAAACAGGAGGAAAACTATACCAAGATACTTAATCAAGTTGCTTACAATCAGCGGAAAAAGACAAAATGTTAAAAAAGCAACCCAAAAAATGTGAAATATTGTGTACAGAGGACCAAATATTCTTGTTGAAAAAAATATACAAGTTAAATAATTTTCCAGGCATTCAAAAGGTAAAAGAATGAATCATGAATGTATCCAGGCTATAAAAAATGCAAAAAGGGGGCTGGAAATTTAGCTCAGTGGTACCCTGCCTGCCTTACAAGCACAAGGTCCTGAGTTAAATCCCCAGAACACACACAAAAAAAGTTTAAAAAATGCTAAAGGAAATCTTTCTAGCAGTAAAATGATATAAGATGGAAACGTGGATCAACTTAAAGGATTGGGGAGAACCAGATGGTGGTAACTACATGTGTAAATAAAGATTACTTTTCCTATTAACACTTTAAAAGATGAGTTTTAAAGGCAAAATAAGAGTAAGTTATTTGGTTTATTAACATGTGGAATACTGTGTATGCTAGTAGTAGCATAGCAACTAGGAGTGTAGAAATGAAAGTACATCTGTATAACTTCTTACATTAAGTGTAACAGCATAATATCACTTGAAGTTTAGGCTGTGATTAATGGTCAATAAAAAACAAACAACCAAAAATATTTTAAAAAACAGAATTATAGGTGCTAGGCCAAGAAAGAAGATAGAAGAAAATTAAAAACTACTCAGTGAATTCAAAATGAGATAAGAAAGAAAGAAAATGGAAAGAATAGATGGGAAAAATATAAAGCAAACAAGTGATAAATCTGAACCCAATCACAAAACAAATTAAGTGTAAATGGTCTGAATACCTACATTCAAAGGCAACATTATCCTAACCACAAGAAACCTACCATTAATACAGACACAAATACTGAAAAGCAAATGAATGGCAATGTCTATTAATGCATTAACCATATTAAAACCAATTGAGAGAACACTTAAATGGTGTTAATAACAGTCAAGGTAGATTTCAGAGAAAATAATACTAGCAGTGTTAGAGTGAATCATTTTAAACATAATGAAAGCATTGGTTAATTGAGAGAATACAACAATCATGAATGCTAGTGAATCTAATAATTTTGCAAATTACATGAAGCAAAAGCCAATAGTACTGAAAGAAGAAACAGACAAATCTACATTCAAATCAGATATTTCAACACCCTATAATTAATAATCAAGTAATTATAAAATTAGTACTAAAATAGAAGGCTTGTAGATGATAGTGAACCAAATTGGTTGGTACTAGCCAACATGACCTAATTTCCATTTATATGATAGTCCATTCAACAGCATTGGGTTACATGTTCTTTTCACAGTCATACTGAACATTTACCAAGATGGACCATATTCTGGTCCATGAAACAACTCCCAATAAATTCTTTAAAAATTAAAACATTTCAAACCATATAGAATATGTTCTCTAATAAAAATGGGATTAAATTAGAAATCAATACCAGAAATATACCTGTTAAACCATCACTATTTAGAAACTAAATATTTGAACATGTGAACAATATTTGAACAATATATGAAAATTCATGGAAAACTGCCAAATCAGTTTTTATAGGAATTTTATAGTATTGATATGTCTAACTCTTTTTCCAAAAGCAGACAAAGATATTAGTGAGAGGAAAAAGCAACTTCAGAGCAATTTTTCTTTGTGAGCCATAATTTCAAAAATTATTGAAATTTTTACAACTGTAATTCTACTAAACAGGTAGATAGTACATCATGTCCAAAGAGTGTCATCCAAGGTATGCAAGTTTAGTTTAACATTTGTCAATCAATGTAATCTACCACATCAACAGACTATAAAAAGGGAAAGCCATGTGTTCATCTCAACAGACACAAAAAAGGCATTTCATAAAGTTCAACATTTATTGTCACTTAAAACTCTCAGAAAATAGAATTTCTTTTGCTTGATTAAGAAATGTATGAAAAATCCACACTTAACAAAATATAATGATAAGACACTGAGTACTTTCCCTCTAAGAGCAGGAACAAGTTAAGGATATTCAATTTCATTTCTGTTCAAGGTTGTACTAAAATATCTAGCCAATGTGATAAGGCAAGAAAAGGAAATAAAAGGTATCTAGGTTAGGAAGCAAAAGTAACACTCTTTATTTGATCAACCATTTCTACAGAATATCCTATGGCATCTACCCAAATATACCAAAAGCAAAACCAGTACAAACTTAGGACCAGTAGGTGAGTTTGGCCTGGCTGAAAATATAAGATAAATATATGAAAATCAGCTATATTTCTATATTCTAGCAATAAACAATAGGAAGTTTAAATTTAACTATTGGTATCATTTACAAGAACTTCAAAAATGTGTTTATCCCCAAGGATAAAACATAATGAAAGATGCAAAAGATCTGTACATTGAAAACTTCAAAATATTGCTAGTTGCTAACCTACAAAGAGATATGGTGTGTTTATGGGTGAGAGACTCAATGCTGTTATCTGTTAGCCTCCTATTCAACTGCTAATGCAATCCAATCCAAATCAAAATGATGTACATAGGCCTTTTTGTAGAAATTGACTGATTCTAAAACTCCTGGAAAAACAAATGACCTAGAGTAGCCAGAACGTCTTTGAAAAAAAAAAACAAAGTTACAACATTCACATTATTGGCTTCAAGATTTGTTATAAAGTTAAAATAGTCATGGCACGTAATATGGTACCTAAGCAAGATACAAGGTAGTCTCGAAATATATGGTGAATGTTGAAGTTTTAAACCTTTATAACAGTAAAAGACACATTGTCATTCGTTCCTTTCCAAATACGCCCCTTTACTTCAAACCCTTATTCCATCATTATTGTCATTTTCTGAAATACTTTTTGAAATCTTCTCTTGTGTCTTTAAATAAAGCGAATGCGGCTGACAAGTACCACCCGACAGAAGGCAGGCTTGTAGAAACATTACACTGTATCTGCATCCATCGTGTTCACTGGATCTGCTGCCGTGTGACATCTGATTCTCCCACAAAGCCAAAATGACCATCCAGGACATCGAGGAAGCTACAACAGTGCAACTAGAGACACAGAAGATAGCTTCCAGAGCTGCTTCAGAAAGTAGTAAGAACAATGGCATAAATGTGTCTGAGACAAGGGAAAGTATTTTAAGGGGGGGGTGTTAATAGTCTTTAATTGTAATTTTAAAAAAAATTTATACATTCACCAGATGTTTGATTATACCCAATAGACAGTCAATCGAACAAAATACTATCTTAAGTAGATGCACACATATTTTCCAAAATGGTTTTCAGTGGAGGCAGAGGTGCAAAGAATAAGAATGGTCTTTTCAACGAAGGGTACTAGAAAAATTAGTCATGTAGTCCCACAAAAAGCCTGTCATCCGCACTTGACAACATATATAAATGCCTATTAACACGGACCATATATCTACCTAAATGTACAGCCTAAAACCGTGAAGCTTTTTGAAGATGACATAGGAGACAAACTCAGCTGGGCTCTTTGCTAAGAGAGAAAGGTAAATGTGTGTTTTGGGGTCACACTTTTACAAAAATGGCTGGCCTCGACCCAAAAGGTTATCTGTGTGTACATTTGCATATGCTTCTGTGTGCAGGGGAGGAAGAAGTTCTGCATGTCACTGGGTAGGTGGCACATGTTACTTTTTCAAAACTCGAAGAGGAATTTACTAAAAGAGAGAAAAACAGAGTTTGTCCAGCATAAAAGAGGAAAAGTAGAAGGAGAAACTGTTTCCACATAACCCTAGGGATGAGCAAAGTGACTTCCTGCTCTTCTTACTGATGAGCAGGGTAGGTGACATCGAGAAGGAAGGAGGTCTTGTTTCACAATGATATCTCAGACTTGTGATTTCTAAGCAGGAGCCTGTGCATTCTGAGTTGGACTTGAGGCCTTCTCTGAAAGTGACAGACAGATGAGGGAGAGCCAGAGCAAGTGCTTCCTGCCCAGTGGCTTCCCCTGATTAGTGCATTACTGTGCCCCTAGGTGCTTAGAGATCAGGGCTAACAACATTCCCCACACCATCCCTTTCAAAGTCTTGATGCAGTGCAACCCTCATCTTTGTGGACCCTCTTTACCTTCTCTCTTTTTTCCACGACTCTTACAGCCCTGTGTAATTGTCTCCCGAATGAAATCGGGGTGAAGTAAGCAGGATGTGGGGTTGATGGAAATCTTCTAGCCTGATTTCCTGCTAACCCACTTCCTGCCCAGGCTCTTCCTGTCTTGGCCTCTGAGTGCTTCCTTCCCTCCTGCCTGATGGATCACCCTTACCTTGATGCATGCACAACCCAGGAAGTGAGGGAAAAACTCATCCAACTGCAGTATGGGGAACAGTGTATTTATTGCCCCCCAAATCACACACTAGAAAGGAAGTGTGGACTGAACATCCTCCGTCCCCCCACCAATCCATAGATTGAAACCTAACCTCAATTGATGGTATTTGGTGCTGTGGCCTTTACAGTAAGATGATTTGGAATGACAGTATTTCCCTTGTAAGTGACACCAAAGAGATGATCTCTCTTGGTCATGTGAGGATCTAGCAAGAAAATGGTTGTTTGCAAACCATGAACAGAACCCTCATCAAAAACTGAATTAGGTGCCTCGATCTCACTGTTCCTTAAGTTTCATGTCTGTGGTATTTTTATTAGTAGCTTAAATGGGTACTGACAGGAAGTGACGGGAGAGACCTGGAGCCCTGGTATTTACATGCAAACTCCCTGACTGCCAGGTTTTCTTTGATGGGAGAGCCCTGGAACCCTGGTTTTTACACGCAAACTCCCTGACTGCCAAGTTTTCTTTGGCTCCTAAAGATCAAGCATTAGATCAAGACCACAAGGCCCCGGTATGGTGTTCCCCCAAATCCATATGGCCAGCTAAGCATTTGTGAGCTGCTGAAAGGCTGAGCTGCCTTAACCATTGCACCATACCTATCTCAGTGTTTTGTTTTAGAGCAAGAATGTCCCCCAAAGGCCTCAGGTGCTCAAAGGTAGGGCTTTTGGAAGGTGATTGAGTTATGGGGGGACTTGCTGTTTAGAGGTAAGACCTGTTCAGGGAAAGTGGGTCATTGAGGGGCTGACCTGGAAGTGTGTATCTCCCTTCATGTCTTCTTCCTTCTCTCTCTACTTCCTGATCACCACGACATGAACAGCTTTCTCCTAACCAGGCCCTTTCACCATCCCCTTTCTCTGTTTAAGCCTGTTGAACACAGGCTGAAATTTCTAAAACTGTGAGACAAAAGAAACCTCCTCTTTTAAGTTGTATCTGTCAGGTATTGTGTCCCAGCAATGAGGAAAGCAACGAAGACACAGCTGAATAATTTATAACAGACAGAAATGAATGGGCTCATAGTTATGGAGTCTGGGAAACTCAAAGAGCATATGTCAACCCCTAGTGAGGCAGCTTGGCAGAGTGTGATCTCAAGGGCTGGAAGGCATCCAAATCATCCTTTTAAAATAACACCAATCCAGGGGCTGGGGATTTAGCTCAGTGGTGCAGCTGCCTGCCACGCAAGTGCAAGGTTCTGAGTAAAACAAACAAACAAACAAACAAACAAACAAACAAAATGTCAATCCTACCCTGAGGAGAAAGTCCTCAAGGCCTAATCATTCCTTAAGTGCTCCACTTTTCCATATTGTTATGACAAATTTTAACTTGAGTTTTGCCGGGGACAAACATTTAAACAGTAGCACAGGCTGTTCTGTTACCCTTAAGGGCATCTCGCATTGACATCAGTAACCTGGCTCTTGAGACCCTGAGCTCATGCCTTTCTGAAGACAGTCTTATAGTTGTTTGCTATCCACTGCCCTCCTCCCCTTCCATTAAGAATACCAGTTTGGTTCATGATAGGTCTCAGGTCCTTGTGGCAATCCCATTCTCCTTTGTTCGTGATCGGTCTGGAGACTGACATATTTCCTGAGTCTGTCCAGTGAGATCTGAGGAAAAGTCTGCTAGGAGACTTCTGGGAGATTTTTGTCTCTCTAGTAAATAGAGTCAAGGTCTCATAAAGACGAGGGCCTTTTGTTCCACTTGTTTGCTGCATGCTTAGATTGCTGGTCAGTGAGCACATAGTGTAAGGCTGCCACAGGCATCTTGTAACCCTTGAAGATGACCCGGCACTTAAGGGAAGACCTGAGATCTCAGCATCAGTGATATACCACTGCACCAGTCCCGCCTGCCTCTGGGCTTGCAGTGACACATAAGGGTCTGTACTGTTTTAGCCACTTGAGAATTCTTTCCTCGCAACTGGAAGCATTGCATGTGACGCACGGGGTATTCAGACTAGTACAACCATCCGTCTGCCTCCAATTCTTTAAAATCTTTTCTCTACCACATATGAAGGCAAAATTCTTTCTGCAGCAAGACCTCAGACACATCCTTTCCTTTATCCATGGATGGTGGCACTTCCTAATAATGCTCTATCATTCTGAGTCCTGGGCTTCTCAGCAGGTCTAGCTTGAGTGAAGAATCTCTCTCCTAGAGCCTGAAGCTAATGAAGTCATGATAAAGGCTTTTGCAATTTCTTAAAGTCCACATAGAGGTTTGTTATTTTGGCCAAAAGGAGCCACCGCTGTGATTTAGAGAAGTAATTTTCAACTATGGCAGAATCCCTTAGAAGGCTTGTTAAAAATAAATTGTTGGATTTCCGTGTCAGAGATTCTGATTTACGGCAGTACACCTGGAGGACAGGGCAATAATTTGCATTCTAACAAGTTCATTTGCATTTCTGACAAATTCCCCAATGATCTTGAGGCTGCAGGCAGAGGGACCACCCTTTGAGACCAATTTCCTAGAGAATAATCATGCATTACAATAAACCTACCCTAGCTTTCTTTCCCTTCCTCCTGCCCCACCTGGTCTGGCCTCCTTAGCATTTAGCAGGAGCTGCATTTACAGTCAGTGTCAGCCTTGCAGTAGTGAAGGCTGGTACAGAGGGGAGGAGAAGAGAAAGAATACTTACTGAGCCCCTGCTACATTTCAAGAGATGTATTGGGCGGGAATGGTGGTACAAGTAGATAATAATCTGCTTTTGTGGAGCTCACAGACTAGTAGACAAAGAGCAAATAAATTGTTCAGTAAAACAAGTGCAGATCCAGTAAGGTCTCTGAAAGCACAAGGGAGCTGTCATATAACAGTGGTCATGGAAATTCCCTTGAGCAGGTGATGCTTGGGCTGAGAGAAGCCCTAATGATGGTGAGAGTGAATCATGCCCAACTCAAGAGGAATGTCCCAGGAAGCGGAAACAAAAAGAGTAAAGGCCTTGGGGTAGGGACAAGCTGGGCATGCTCACACCTCAGAAAACTAGAGTGGCTAGAGATTGGGGAACAAGGGAAAGTGGCCCAAGATAAAAGTAGGGGTAACTGCCGTTTATCTACCATTGCATGACAAATGCCCCCAAAATCTTAGTGGATCAAGTACAACTTTAAACTGAAAGATCCTGTTAGTCAAGAATTAGGAAAGGCCTCGGGTCCTCTGTTCCCTCTATATTGTGTGGCCTCAGCTGGGACGATTGCATGGCTGGGGCAGCAGATTCATTCCCATGTTCTTCACTCTATGGCCTGGGAAGTTCAGCCAGGTCAGAGTGTGTTTGGGGCGACCGTGACGAGGAGCACCTCCACGTATCACACAGCCCCTCCAGCATGCTCGACTTAGGCTGGACAGTCTTCTTACAGTGGCAGCTCAGCGTTCCAGGGGCCAGTGTCCCAGGCAACCAGACAGAAGCTGCCTGGCCATAGTGACCAACCTCAGGAGTCACAGAGTGTCCTCTGCTACTGCCTATGGATTAAAACAATTGCAAACCCACCTAGGCTCGATTGGAGGAATGTTGATTTGCAGCTCTAGTTAAAAATCTGTGTTCAGGCATTGGTGCTACTTCCCAGTGTGGTAGGGACCTGCTAGGATGTTGTAAGCAACATGGTGCCATGGCTCAATATTGGCTTCCTGATGATATATCCTGGCTTCTTCCACCTGCTCGGGAAATCAGAGAGGACATCTACTTGGGGCTTTCATTGAGCCCACATTTTAATTATGAATATCGTAAGTGTCTCTGTCAGAAGCTCAGCTTCACATATAAATGTACTAAGTCCAGTCATTCGTTCATTCAAGACATTAAATGGGCACCTCCTGTGTGCTGGGAAAATGGTTCTTTACAGATGTGAAGAGCCTGTGTGTACATCTTCTCACCGACTAACCTAGATGAGTGTGAGCATCAAGGAGACAGGAGTCTTGGTTGAGGGCACAGAGCTAGAGAGTTAGAAAAGTAGGATTTGGATCCAGCTCTTCCTTGCCAAACTTGGAGTTCTTTTCCTCACATCTAGTTGCTTTCTCTCCACATCCTGAGTAGGACCAGGATGTTTCCCTTAGATTTTTGACTGGCTCTATGGGCAAGTGATTTCCAGGAAGGAGTAAGTGATGTGAGTGCTTTGCTTTGTGCACACAAGTGGGAATTTATAAACCTCACCACAAGCTGTGACTAAACACATGCTGTCTGTCTGCTTGAGTGTTGGCATCCACAGCACCAAAGAGCTATGCCAGCCACATCCGGTCCCTGTACCTCATGCACAGAGGACCCTGGCAGCTACCTTGGTCGGCAGGGTCCCACTCCTCTATTTCGATGTCCTCATGAGAAATTCCTTGCTAAACCATTCTGACCACCTCCACCTACTGTTTGCATTTATGTGCAATACATGCTGTACTTTTCTGGTGCCCAAAGCGGAGGAAAACTTAGCCCATTAAAGTAGGCAGAAGCACCTGGAAGAAGTCTCCTGGAAGTGTGTCTGCCCTGGCCTGGGAAAGGGCTCTGAATATTTTCTGATGAAGGCCTTGGAGGTTGAATTCCATAGAGTTGCGCAGGAACAGTCAGCAGCAGGCCCACGTGTCCTGGTGTTTCTGAACCTTTGATGAAATCAGGAGCAGCTGTTATGTGCCAAGCAGGAATGCTTTAGGATGTGCAGACACCTCCAGGAGATGTTACAGGGAGCACTGGGTGCCATCTCCAGAGAACGAAAATTTATACTTTCCCCTTTGCAGGCCCAGGAATGCAGATGCCCCATGTACTTACTGTGGAGAGCAAAAGGGAATCTGTGAAGGGTCACCTTGGCTCTGAGCCCAGCCACACGCAGACCCCATTCCTCGAGGTTTTGGCCTTCAAAGGAAAGACCAAATCTTTCCCTGGTAGCACACACTGCTTCTCTCTCCTGATGCTGTGGCTGTTAAACACTGCATAGTTACTTCCTATTGAAGGACCATGAGCACAGTCATAAACAGAGTCAACCCCGGACTGCCACTTCTGAGTCCTTTAACTTGGGCAAACCACCTGTTTCTTCTCCCTTTAACTTGCGCTAATAGCTATACCCTGTAGAATAGCAATTAATAGTTATTGATGGTGAGCTTAAGTAATACCAGGCATTGTGCTAACCTGTTCCCATGGATTCTTTCAGTTAGCACTCACAAGGCTCTTAGGACGTAGACAGTATTTTACAGAAGGGCAAATGAGGAACACAGAGGTCAAGAAAAATTTCCCAAGTGCGCATAGCCAGCAAGATTCAAATCCACTGGACTCCGGGGCTGACCATTTTGTTAACAGTCTTCTGGATCATCTGTTGAACTGTTGCATCAATGTTACTGTTTCCCCAAAGTCTAGAAAAAAGCCTGGCTTGAGCTGTGGCTCCTTTCTTACTAGCTCCCTTGCCATATGCCCACTTTTGAGTAAATGAAATAGATGAGCAAACTGTAGTTTGGGTACTGTAGGTCAGAGCTGGCAGGGACTTAGTGGATCCATCTCCCATCACACACCCGTGCCCAGTGTGGGGCTAGCTATCCCCACAAGTGGTCCATTCCCAGGCTTTCAATGCTGCCTTGAGCGTTCGCTTTATTAGGTTTGAACAGGAGCCTGTAGGAGCCAAGTAGTATGATGATGAGGCATCTGATAGGAGATATTCCTGGGCAAGTTAGTTTGCCTCTCTGAACCTCAGTTTTCTCATCTGCAGAGAGGGGCAATGATAGCTCAGCCCTGAGGGGTGTAGAAAGCACTTACCATAGTATCTGGCATCTAACAAGCACTCAGCAGATGCTGTCCATTATGGTCCTGTGCTGAAGAGCAGACATAGAGGTCAGAATAAGGGTGGGGGTCTAGCTCTCTATTACAAAACTATTTTAGGAAATAGAGGGCAAAAAAATCAAACAAAGATACATCTATAATTTTACACCAGCAGGCCGATTGGCCTTTGTGTCCTTTGTTTTCAGTGTATGTATTTTGAACATTCTTTTAAAATATTTTTAATCTTTTCTCAGCTGAAGCACAAGTCCCTCTCAAGCCCTCCCTAAGGGAAATATAACAGATTCTAAAGATGTTGTCGATGTCTGGTTTCTGCTGAGGAAGGTGGAGCACTACACCCCAACAGTACAGACTGTCCTGTACTCTCAGTGTCCTGGTCAGAGTTTCCTGTGTGCTATGTTTAAGGCACTAATTAGTTGTGCTCTTTTCCTGAGGCCTTAAAAATTCC